TTATTTTATTGTAACAATTGCTGAGCGTTTGAGACAAGAGGCCTACTGAGAGACTTTCACACTCTTCTGGAGATAATGCGAGCTTTACAGTCAAATGATATATGAATGATTAAGATTTTTAACCCAGCCATTGATTCAGGGGCGTGTCAGCTCATGGCTTGGAGGCACATTAAAGATGGAAAAACGCAGCTCTGTGGAAAGAGAGAGAGTGGGAGGGAGAGAGAGACGGGGAGGAGGAACTACTAGTGGAAAAAAAAAAAGTTAAAGTGAAAATGGCTTCCTTGTCTTTAGAGTCTACAGAACAATCTGACAATAGCCCAGAAGATCCGTCAGTAGCCGAGTCCAAAGAAGACAAAGAAAGCTCTCATGTTTCGGAACATTTGCTCCAAAGTTTCCAGAAGTCGGCCCTGAGTTTCTCCACAGACCAGGTTTCATGCCTGTGCGAGGCCCTTCTGCAGGCGGGTAATGTGGATCGCCTGTGGAGCTTTCTCTCCACCATACCTCCTTCGTCCGAGCTGCTACGTGGCAACGAGACGCTGCTGAAGGCCCAGGCGCTGGTGGCTTTCCATCGGGAGGAGTTCAAGGAGCTGTACGCCATCCTAGAGAGCCATGACTTCCACCCGTCTAACCATGGGTTCCTGCAGGACCTGTACCTCAAAGCCCGCTACAAGGAGGCAGAGAGGTCCCGGGGCCGCAGCCTGGGCGCAGTGGACAAATACCGGCTCAGGAAGAAGTTCCCCCTGCCTAAAACCATCTGGGACGGAGAGGAGACGGTTTACTGCTTCAAGGAGAAGTCCCGGAACGCTCTGAAGGAATGCTACAAAAGCAACAGGTACCCCACTCCGGACGAGAAGAAAAACCTGGCTAAAGTAACCGGACTGTCCCTCACGCAAGTCAGCAACTGGTTCAAGAACCGCAGGCAGAGGGACAGGACCCCGTCCGGGACCCACAGCAAAAGGCAAGCATTGCATGCATGTGCGCGCCTTAACCTGCGCACAGAAACGCTGCGATCTGAAACTGCTCCCTTTGTTTGCAAGTCAATCAAACTTATGAAGGCTCTAAACACTTGAAGGAAAAAAGTGCATCACGTCTAAAGCATGCAGAAAAACATCATTGCGAGTCAGGAAGGGATTTATTAAAGATGATGGGCGGTAGCTGACTTTGTCACACATCTGAAACCTAACGCATGTTGCTTTGTTATGAAATGTGAGATCCAGATGGGCCCACAATGGCTCAAGTTTCCTGAAACCCTGCACTGCACTGCCGCCTCCAGAGCTTAGGGGACAGGGGTTGGTGAGGGTGGAAAACTGAAACAGAAGGAAAAACCTGCAGCAACAGGCCAAGCAGCCTGATATCACAATTTTGTTATTATAACAGGAAGTATAAATCAGGGTGATGTGAATATTAAATTTACCACACAGTTTTACCTTAAAAGAGACAGATAAAAGTAAAGTGATATAAAGGTTGTATTTATTTAACAAACATTTCGGATGCAGTGTTATAAAAGTTGAAATTCTGTGGTAATTTATGACACTAGATTTACCCTAAAACACAAATCTGTGGCTTGAAATGCAAAAAGGACATTACGATAACCCAGGTAAACAATCCTCAGTAAGAATATGTAGCCAAACATATTTTTAAATGACTTATATCCACCAATAAAGGGCATTATTTCAAGTTTCAGCTTACAAGCAAAATGCATCTTCACTGACTAGAAGTCATTGATGTTTTGGAGTCACAAAGCAAGAGTGCCAACTTTGAATTGATGGGGAATTTGTGGAGGGAGCCAAAGATTAGATAATTGGACTGAGTCATTCCAACTTTTAAAGGACTAAAATGTCCAAATAAAAGCATAGGTACCTGAGAACATTTATAAAGTAACTGCTTGTTTGGTTCGTGTTTAAAAAAAGAGGGAAAAAAATCCTCCTCTTCAGTTGATTTAAATAGATTTCATCTAATGCTCTGGATATTTCCGGGTTTATATTGGAAAAAAAATCCAGATTCTAGCCAACTTTTACTGGAAAGAAGTGCCTTTATTGTGTGGTTTAATTCATTTGCACACACTGTGTGCAATCTTAGATTTAATGCATTTGATGAACAGGGGCAAAAACAGATATTGTTTAATACCATCTGCCTTCCTGATTGAGGGGAAATTGGCCAATTCCTGGCAGAATATGTCTTGTTTTTACAACCACTGTTTCTCAAAGCGGGGGTGTTCTGTTTGTGCAGAGATTAAGCAGAGCATGGAGGGCTTATCTTACCCCACCTCAGGGGCTGTGGTGGTCAGTCCAAATGTAGTGGATCTGGGTCGTAAAGCTCCACAAATGACCTAATATCAGGCCATGAAAGGGTTTTAGGAGTCTGACTCCCCCCTTCTTGCACAGAGGAATGCTGCTTTGCTTGGTTGGTTATTGTAGAGATGGTTAACCGTACTGGTGAAAGTTTAACAAGTTTCTATTTGGTTGAGAACAGAAGTATCTGCTCCAAAACTACTTAAAACAATAAATTAATACAGTTGCAATAATTCATTTTGCATTTAATGTCTTGCAGCATTTCAATAGATATAATTAGGTTTAACGCTTTAAAACTAAAACGTCAAATGTTCTTTCTTACACCTATAATTTTCTAACTTACACTTGAATTAAATTAGGCGTAAGGGTTTTATGTTTCCATTTTATCATATATCCGTCTTTGTTTCCAGCGAGTCAGATGGGAACCACAGCACTGAGGACGAGGCGATGGACGAAGCCACCGACAAACCAGAGGAGCCAACAAGCTCCACCACCTCCATCATCTCTGTCTCTGCGGTCCCCTGCAGCACGGGGGGCCAGCTTATCCTCAATGGCTCCAGCGGCTTCCTGGCAGCTTCACAGCCATTGCTGCTGAACGGAAACTCCCTGATCTCCAGTGCCGGGGCTGGTGTCATAATCAACGGGCTGAGTCTAGGTGACTGCCAGACGGTCACGCTGAGCCCTGTTGCAGCCAGCTCTCCTCTAATCCTGAACGGGGCTCAGGTCATAACCAAACCCGGGGTCAGCACGCAGCAGCACCAAGCGGCCTCTTCTAGAGCAGAACAGGAAGCGTCTGCTGTGGAGACCAAGACGGTTGTTCTGAGCACTAATGGCGTTCAAGCTCCAGAACCTTCCACCATAATTTCTCCTCCACTTCAAACCAAAATAAAAAGTGACAGCGACATGGATTTTATGACCAGTTGCAATTCAGAGGGAGGCAGCCAGACAGTATCCCCGTCCTCTTCGTCTTTATCGCCCTCCCCTCCAGCTCTGTCCTCTTCAACCAGTCTTCCATCGCTTGTTTTAACCCAAAACCCTCAAGACCAAGAGTCTGTCTCCCTCCCAGCTTCTCTGCCCTCCTCAGGCTTGGTTATCTCCAACTCTGCCAGTCAGCAGGGACCTTGGCCCTCACAGTTAACACCTTCTACAGTTTCTTCTATCCACTCCACCCCTCACATCATCTCTTTGCCCCAAGTTGTGCCTTCAATCCACTGTGCACCAGTCTCCCAACTGGTCCAGAGCTCTACAGGAGCCCAATGCCCTCAGCTAGTCCCAGTATCCCCACTCACCTCAGTGGCTCCACAGTTTCAAAGCCCTCACACTCAAAACATAGGTAGCAGACCGCAAGAGCAGCAGCAAGAGCCCCCAACAACTATATCTGAATCTGCTGCTGCTGTAGCTTCTGTTCCACAGCTTAACAACACTACCCTCCAGCACATAAACCCCACCCCCATCAAAGTTCAGCCTCCACAGGTTCTCTCCTTGTCTTCTCCTACACCAGGAGTCCCAGTGTCTCAAGCAAAAGGCAGTCCCTCTGCTCAGTTAGCCTCACTTTCAATGCCTCAGCTGGTTCCTGTCTCCTCCATCCAAACCTCCCCCAACTTCTCTTTCCCCCAGGTGGTGCCAGCCAGCCCGGCACTCTCCATCCCCTCTGCTGGTGTGCCCTTGCAGATCTTGGCTTCATCCCCTGGATCCGCAGGGCCTCCACAGAGCCCGCTCAGGATAAACCAGCTGAGTCAGATACAGAGAGTTGGGAACTCGACCAGCGTGGCCCCGGCTGTACAGCTCCTGAACCCTGGGATCATTCAGCTACCTTCTCCTTCCACAGGTAAAACATAACATCCAATTTGTTCATTAGGAGAAATAAAAACAGACTGATCAACTCAATTCTTTGATAGTTTCCCGATAAAGATTCATTAAATATATTTTGGATTAGGTTAAAAAAGCAGGAATGTAAGGTGAACTTGAAAGTACCTAAAGTTTGGAACATATTGAAGTATTTACACTGATGGACGTCACACAAATTGTTTAAACTGCTATGATTAATTACAGAACCATGTAAAGGTATTTATACAACTTGACCATTAATGGTTTGTGGGGAACATTCTGTGATTGACAAACACAAAGTAGTACATAAAACAAATTATACTTCATAGTAAAACCTGGAACTTTTTATCATTTGTGTATATATATATATATATATATATACACACTACCGTTCAAAAGTTTGAGGTCACCCAAATGATTTTGTGTTTTCCTGAAAAGTAGCACTTATTCACCACCATACGTTAGACACTGACAAGGTTAGAAATAAGGATTTATATTTGAATCATTCATTTGCAGCAATTACAGCATTGCAGACCTTTGGCATTCCAGCTGTTAATTTGTTGAGGTAATCTGGAGAAACTGCACCCCACGCTTCCAGAAGCAGCTCCCACAAGTTGGATTGGTTGGATGGGCACTTCTTGCATACCATACGGTCAAGCTGCTCCCACAACAGCTCAATGGGGTTTATAAGGACATTTCAATGTGTCCCCAAACTTTTGAATGGTAGTGTGTGTATATGTATGTATGTGTGTATATATATATATATATATATATATATACAAACACCTGACTATATTCTGAAAAAATGTAACAATTTGCCAGCCCATTAAGACAGCTCTCCTTCTAACCTCTATAACAAAAAATGAAGAGGCAGCCAAGAGGCCCCTCGTATCTATCTCTGGAGGAGCTGTGGAGATCTGCAGCTCAGGTGGGTGACTAGATGATGAGCTCTGTGTAAATCTGACCTCCCTGGAAGAAAGGGATTGCCACAATTAAGCAACAGGAGGTCTCATTTAACAGCTTTATGATTTTTCTTTTGCCCCAATTTCATGTAAAAAAAACATTTCAAATACGTGCAAGAATAAGCTTTAAGTGGATTTTTTTTGGCCAGCATGCATAACGCTGTGTGGCAGAAAACCTGAAACTACACATGACCATAAACATGCCATTCCCATGGTGAATAAAGCCGGTGGCTGCGTCATGCTATTTCAGGTGGTCAGAGAGGCTCCTAGACATTCAGCCAGATCTACAGCCGCATGTTTTAAATCACAGATTTTTCACGTGTTGAACGGCTCAGTTAAAGTCCAGAGCTGAATAAAATCTAAAATTTGAATTTCCGAAAGTGTGACAAACCTTAGATGTATTTTAAAGGAGGGACAGAAATATCAGTCCTTAAATGTGCAGAATTGGTAATACGGCATCATGTTGAAGTCTGAATGCAAGTTAGGTCACTTTTTAGACTTTAATTTGTGAAATATGCCCTAACTTATTAACTTATGTATAATATTTCTTCAAATGCAAAATTATGCTCTGCTTTGTGTTTGTCTATCACACATAAAACCCTACGCTACACTAGGCTGTAATATGACAAAATATGACTAAGGTTTTTGTCAACAACTGCAGATAAAGAGAAAATTAAAATATTTTGAAAAACAATGACAAAGATTAATTAGTCCATCCTTTAATAACCAGCTTCAGTAGAGTGACTAGCATCTTTTACATACTTCCAAAATAAAGAAAATGATGCACTGACTGGTTTTCGTTGCATGTGGCTCGTCGCTGCAGGGAATGTCGTTCTCGGTGGAAGCCCATACCTGAGTGTGCAGCAGGGAAAGCTGATCCTGACAATCCCAGCAGGGATCCAGCTCACCAGTTTACCCCTAAAACCAGTCCAAGAAGCATCCACTGTCTCTGCAAACGGAGTGGCTGGACTTCTGAGTCCCTCCACTCCTCCTGTGGCCTGCCAGCCTCCACACAGCTCAGGCTCAAACTCCGGTGGACTAGCAGCTCCCCCTTTGAACTTCATCAGCTCCTCGCCTCTGCTCTGTGCTCCTGACACCACCAGCATCACCACCAGCCAGCCGCCGGTAGTCTCCACCTCTCCCACGCTAGACCAGTCCGTTACCATGACGACACAAAGTGCGCTTACTCCAGAGAGCATGCTGGCCCTTGGCCCCATGTACAGCGGAGTAGCACCGAGCATCCAGCTGTCCCAGCCGGCATGGAACCCCGTCTCCCTCTCCACCTCAGCCAGTCTGACCCTGTTTGACATGCGTGGGAAGGGAGAGCTACCTGTAGACCCCGCTTTATTAGGTCTACCCGGAGGAGAGTCGCTCCTGCTGGGGAGCTCATCTCTTGGAAGGGAAGATGAAACCAGCTCTCCACTGAGGGACCCGGATGAGATGGATGGGGAGCAGAAGATTCTCACCCAGCTCCAATCAGTCCCCGTGGATGAAGACTTGGGTTTGTAGTTCTGTTAAAACTGTTGGCAATTCTCCATACTGTCCTGTTGCTATTCATGACCCGATGTGGTAATTTAGTAAAATAAGAAAAACGTCCTGAAACCATCGTAGACCTGATTGGCACTTTTTAGAAAAGTTCTTTGCAGTTTTTGTAGTTCCAGCTGGAGCCTTGCATATACCTCTCATGGACATCAGTACAATATTTGCTTTGGGAATTTAAAGATTTACTCAAACCATTCTTTTTTTTTTTCTTTTTTTCTTTAAGATCTGAATGATTTAAACACAAGAAACTTCAGTGAGTTATAAAAATTTATTATTTATTGAGGATTTTCCCTTTAACTAGCTGTATTACTTCATCCTCTTTGTGCAATGAACCACTAACAAAACGGCCCATAGCATGATGTTTCTACCATGCTTTGCAGTTGGCAGTGTGTCCCTTGGTTTGAAGATCTCAGCTTTAAATTTGTGTTGTCCAAGGAGGTAGCTAGATGTTATAGTTGGGTTTTTATTTATTTTTTGCTAATTTTCTTTTAAATCTTTACCAGTTTTGTGTCGTTTAAGGGAGACTTTTTTATATTTGACTGAATTTTTGAAAACACTGTACCAACTGTCTAGCCTTTAGGTGGGAGTATCATGACGTTGGAGCGTTGGTGGAGCAGTGTGCAAAGTGGATGTAGAAATAAAGCTGGAGATTCTTCAAATCCACCTAAAGTCAACAGTAAGATGAGAGATCCTCATCCTAAGGATGCTCCATAATGGTTTTCAATATACTTGGGTAAAACTAAGCAATGGTTTTAAATATAAAATTAAAATAAAAGTTTTTTTTTAGCAGATCTTTATGCATTTTCACACATCTAGGTAAAAATTCCATGCTTAAAATACAGTTTTATTCTGTTTTTATAAACATCGAAAGTATAATTCAAATATGCCATTATTAAAACGCATTTTAAGGCTCTAAAAGCCTTTCAGACAGAAAGTTATATTGTTTTTTAATCATGATTTGAATTTTAGAATCCAGACACGGTTGGCTCGTTTTGTAGCACTAAACCAGATTTTCACTCAGGAGACTGAAACGGAAATTCATAAATTGAGTATTTCTAAACATTTACCTGGAATTTTTTTTTTTTCTTCTGAATTTTGAGGGAATGTTTGTCCTTTTCACCCACATCTTTTTAATTCCTCCTTAACCCTTTATAGGGCATTCAGTGAAAGATTTTAAACATCTAAATTTCAAGCAAAGAGTACACTGCAAAAAAATGAAATCTAAGTAAGTCAGTTTTTCTTAAAATAAGTGCATTTTTTCTTGAACTGAGCAGGTAAGTGAGATACTTTGCAAATGGAATAAGAAAATGTAAAATAAAGAAAAAAAATGCAGTCTCCTATTTCAAGAACATAATATCAAATAATCTGATTTTAATGATAAGAATTGTCCCTCAGCTGGGAGATTTTCTTATTTACCTACTTAAATTAAGGGTAAATACACTTATTTTCACATATTTAAAGATAATTTTTGTAGTGTGTTACTGGAATCCAGGGCAAGACCTTATTACCTTTGTAATGTTCAATAAATCAGTATATTTTGATTGCATAAATGAATGTCAACGTAATTACAAGAAACGCCAACTTGACCGTATATATTAAGAAAAATAACAAAAGTGCTTCTATAAGAAATTCATTAAAAACAGAGAGTAAAAGAAATGGCACTCCATTTGTAAGGGGTATGCAAGTGATCAAAAATGGTAACATGCCCTATAAAGGGTTACCGTAACTAAACTAATTTACACAGAGATACCTTGGATTACTCTGACCTACATAGACGTTCCTCTAAACTACCTTTTCTCTGAGTTTTTGCTGGAGAAAAAAGCAGCACCATAAGGGGAGAGTATTTAATAAAGTGAATGCATTCTTTCAATGTTTCTACAGCCAAAAAAAAAGAGTTTCTGGACTTTTACTATTCTTAATCTACCAGTACTCTAGGAGTTCAATCTTTATGCTTCTTTATTTCATAATTGCAAGGGACACACAACAGTATTTTATATATATATATATATATAAAGTTACAGAGGCAGGCTTAACACGTACAGATCCGTTAGATAGGTTGAGTTAGGTTTGGAAAAAAGCAAAAGAGGAGTTAAAAAGGTTTTAAAGTAATGGGTTCTAACTCTATGCAATATATATGTAGCTCTTTATAGGACACTACACCGCACAACGGCTGGGTCAAAAAGCCGAGACACTTGGGAGATGAAATGAAGCCTTGAGGTGAATTACACTAAAGTGATTGCTCTGATTGTGAGATTCCTCATCAAATGCAGCCAAAGTCTCAGTCTGTCGATACTGATAAGTGCCTTATTTTAAATCGTTTTTTTAAAGATGTTTTGTTCTAGTTACACCATTTTGTATGACTTATATGTGACCGGCCAGAATTTTGGACTTTTCAAGAATGCCCACATTTCTACATAAGTTTGACCCTCTGTGAATTGCTGTGATACTTTATTTGCATGGTCATTGCTTTTTTTTTTTTTTTTTGTATATTTTGCACATTTTATTCATGTTGTTTACGGTAGGCTGCCGTTCTATCGTGATCATGGCTGGACTTGTTTATCTGAAGCTCCTTTAGATTTAAACTCTGAACCGAACAGGCCTTCTGCAGTCAGAACGCTGGTAGCCATCAATCTTTTGGTCGTTTACGGTACAAAAATGTACGTTTAATCTCGAAAGTGTCCACTCCTCTGTTAGAATGACTGGTTTTTGTGACTTAAACGATTAAGAGCATCATGAATCGTTCCAAAGCCAGACGTGTGCACACCCTTAAACCAGAACTTTAACCAGGTTTGGATTCTGTTTTTTCTCTTTATCTTATACAATGTTTCCAAACACCTTATAAAAGTTGTCAGTAGAGTCAATGGAAAAAATATTAAACCATCCTTATTTTCTTTAGTATTTTGTTAATTTTAATAAGGGTACAAGTAAAGGTACATTTGTTTAGATGAAGATGCTGATAACATTTAAAAGCTGATATTTAGCCATTGTTGTACCAAACCAATTTATGGTGTTCTGTTTTTTCTTTACTGTCTTGGTCACATAACACACACAGGAGTTAGTATATGATTGCAGAAACATTGTTTTTGATGAGAAAGGTGGTACTCATACTCTTACTAGTCTTCCCCTCCTTTTCCAGACCTGGTTGGGGGCCGATTTCATCACCATAGATGAGGGTAGAAACTTAGAACGACCGGTAAATCGAGAGCTTTGCTTTTTGGTGCAGCGTTCGCATTATAGCAGCCGCACCGATCCATTTATCATCGATGATAAAGGTGGTTAAATTTATTTTTTCCATGATGGTATATGATCCAGTTTAGCTAACTGTATTGTGGGTGTTCCACAAGGCTCTGTATTAGACCTTTTTTTTATTATTGACTTTATTTCAATTAACTCTGTGTCTCCACCTTAAGACGATCTACAGATACATACAGGTTAAACAATTAAGCATTATATGCTAAATTAAAGTTGCAACGTCCAAGCTAAAGGTTGTGTAACACATTGGCTTGATCAGTTGCACTTGAACTTACTCTTTAACTGAAACATAACTTTGATCTTTGTAGCCTTTAAACTGTGGCTTTAGTTAAAGGATAAAATTGGGCGTATGAAAGGGAAAAAATCCTGCAGAGATGCTTGAACAGATTTAGGGGTTTATTGTTATCAGGTTTGTATCAGGGTCGATTTCAGCTTAGAGTGTGGGTTTATTTTCAGCTTCCTCCTGTCACATGTGAAAGTGACCCAGAGCAAGCACTTAAGATTTAAGATTAGTTCTACCTACTGATCTGCATGCTTGTTTATTAATGTGTGCCATCAGGCTTTAGTTCAAAGCAGAGATGGGGGATCAGGAGTCAGCAAGTCATCTCTATGTCATGTATTCTGCCCAGCGACTGAACCAGGTGAGTCCAATCTGCACAGGTTAGTTCACTTTACATTGGACTAACCTGCTTCAGTGGCTGAGCAGAACAAACACAAGACTTGTTGACTCCAGATCCCCAATCTCTGGTTCAAAGCTCTTGGAGCAGCCAGTATGACTAGAAAGTTACTTTCATGCCGTCCATTTACCCAAAATTTTATAATGGAAACAAAGCTTTAGTTTAAGGGTGTCCAATCATCCAACCAGGATTTAATAATTCTTACAAAATTATAGAAATTATTTACTTTTTAAGTTGCAAGCAATCGCTTATAAAAGAAATGACAAAAGTATTTATGATGCTGCTTCTTTTAGGACATAAAAACCAAGCATTTTAACAGGGATGTACACTTCTAAAAGCCAGTGTAGACTTCAGTATTGCCTATAGTTACAGTAGTAACCTGTGTTTTGTTTTTGGTCTGTTTGTCTGTTTTGTACATTTAACCTATTTAATTGCATGTACCAGTCAGTTCCTAGTTTAAAGTGAAGACTTACGGAAACGGTGCATATAGGAAAACTCAGATTAGAGACTTTGACTTTATTCTGAGGTCATTAACTCTATTTCATCCCACTGTTGACCTACAGATGGTGGAAACAGGGATGGTTTTTTTGTTGTTTTTTTGTTGTTTTCATATACCAAAGCATGCTTCTTGTTCTTTTTTGCCTTGGTTATTTTCTCGTGCTACCTGTAGCCTAACCTTCACAACTCTATATTTAACCAAAGATTTTGTGTTGAACTCTACATTTTAAAAAGGGAGATGTCCGTCTTTACATGTTCTTCCTGTTTTTGTACTCAAATGCATTCTATTTTTTATATTACATGATACTGTAATAAACTGCATTTATTAAAAAAAAACTTGTTTGTCTGCTTCCTCTTGCTTGGAGCTGTGGGTGACTATGAATGCTTGTTTGTTAAGGGATTTTGCCTCTAATTTGTCAACAAAATTTTATTCAAATACATTCGTTGTGAGGGAGCTTCAGTCTGCTTCTCTGGTGAGTTCAGCAGCAGAACTTCAAAATATGAGCAAAGGTGTGCCGGCTCATGTTTGCACAAGAGATGAGGGGATCTCTGGTGTGTTATTATAACCCTGATGGGCTCAGGTTTCCTGTGCGAGGGTATGATGATGTTCAGTGCCAACGCACATGCAGGTTAATTTAGTTTTGGTTCATCTGTAAAGATCCATAGAGGCTTCAGCTCTCAGAGGAGTAGACTGTAGAGGCGCTTTCTTTCGGAGGGATGATCTTCACAGCGGAGCAGATCATTTGTGTCTGTGAGGTTCTGCTGCAGGGTGGTAGCATGGATCGTCTTGCCAGCTTCCTCTGCACTCTTCCTCCCTCTTCTTCTTCATGCCTTGCGGAGCTGGAAAGCGTCCTGAGAGCCAAGGCGGCGGTGGCCTTTCACCAGGGGCGCTTCTCAGACCTCTACACCCTGCTGGAGGGATTCCCCTTCTCCCCACGCAGCCACCCGTTCCTGCAGGAGCTCTGGCTGCAAGCTCACTACGCCGAGGCTGAGAGGCAGAGGGGTCGGCCCCTGGGGGCCGTGGGGAAGTATCGGGTTAGGAGGAAGTTTCCTTTACCCCACACTATCTGGGATGGAGAGGAGACCAGTTACTGTTTCAAGGTAGGATTACTTTTCTCAGCACTTAAACTAGTTTATTCAAACACTCACAGGTTAACCTGGACACTTAATTACTTTCTATACTTAATACATTTTAAGCCCCTCTAAATTTTATGTCACTACCATTAACACCAAGGTTGATTTGATGTATAAAGTGTATTTTTTCCAAATGAAAACCACTGAAGTATTTACCCCCCTGCCTTGGTGCTTTTATGCAATCATAGCTGCACTTGTCTTAGGTTTCCCTCCTATTTTGCACATCTGGAGGATGATAATTTTGCTCTCTCATTGTTGCAAAATAACTTCAGCTCAATCAGATCAGACAACAGAGGCAATTTTCAATTCACCATGGTGCCATGGGATGGTTTATTTGTCCCGCTTATTATAGGTTTACCTCTGACCTGGTCTCTAAACCCCTTAGAAATTACTCCTTATTCTTTCTTTTAGCAACACAATGCTTTTTGGTCAATCTTTCATCAATAGTAGTTATTCTTCACTGCGCAAAACTAATTGTTGCTCTGTCCACAGACTCTTACTCCTTTAGGCATTTTTCTGTGTGTATTTTGACAGATCTGCAGTTCTTCCATTCTTTTCATTTTCAGGTGATGGATTGAATGGTGCTCGGAGATATTCAAATATTGGTATCGTTTTGTAACCTAACTCCGTTTAAAACCTTATACCTGACCTGCCTGCTGTGCTTCTTGTTCTGCACGATCCTGTTTCTGTTTGTTAATGATGTTCTCTAACACAGCCCTGAGTGCTTTTGGAGAACATCTGGATTATTACTGAGGATAATTTACATCAAGTCATCGCTTTAGGTTGTCGGTTTTAAGGATTTCTTTTAGGGCTATTGGTTTCAGGGAGCTGAATATGACTCATTTTTAAAAAGCTTTGAAAGCCAAAGTGTTTTAATATTTCCACTGATGATGTGAGGGACTCGTAAGATAAAAGACGGTTGACTTATAAACAGTTAATCATCGTTGTTCTCTTTAAAACAGGAGAAATCCCGCAGCGTGCTGAGGGAGTGGTACCACAGAAAGCCATATCCTTCCACCAGAGAGAAGAAGGAGCTGGCAGCGGCCACTGGCCTCACGTCCACTCAGGTCAGCAACTGGTTCAAGAACCGCCGGCAGAGAGACCGAAGCACCGAGATTTCCAGGTCAGTGAGACCACAGCTGCTGGTTGGAAACCGTTTACTTTTATTTACTTAAAGCATCTTGGGATGAAAATGTGTTTATTTTCTTTTTTTATTCTGTAACTTGAAGTGAAAAGCTTTACCCAGTGTAGAATTATGAAACAAATGCAAAAGAAAATTATGAATTTGTAGCTCAAAATTGCCTCATTATCTCATGGTTGTGACTTAATAAAAAATATAAATAAAATAAAATGTAATCTCTTACTAACTTCTTTCTAATTACTGACTTAATTTAGTCAGGTTAAAATTTCTTATCCCTTGACTCATTTAAAAACTTACCGTATTTCTCATAATTAAAACTTTGTATCTGCAAATTCAGATTTAGAGATCTCCGTTATGTTTCACTGTTTATTACAATAGTTTAATCAAATTATTATACATTTCTAACTTATAAATTTGCGTCGCCATTACAGGGCGAAAATCTAACCATATGTTTAACAACAAAGTTTATATTTCTGATATTACTGTTAATTGATGAAGACTTTTTATCATTTGTATTATCACATAAAACATGTTCCTGTCAAATCACAATTATGACAACATTGTCTTTATATCTCAATAATAGAATGCTTTCCTAAAAAGACTTTGCTTCAAAACATTTGGCATTAAAATTGACATAAAACAGTGACATAAAAATGTAAAAACATTAAATCATATATATATATATATATATATATATATATATATATATATATATATATATATAGTCTCTTGTGGCTCTGTGTTTTAAAAGCATAATATGTCTTAACCATGTATCTCATTAAAAAAACTATCTCATAAATTTGACTTTAAATCCTATAACTTTACTGTACATCTTTAAAATGGGATTAATTTTTACTGCATTTGGCAATAAATGTCTTATTTTGATGCACACAATGTTAAAATCATGGGATTTAATATTTTTATTCTTTTATCTCATAACACTGAATGTATTTCTCCCGAGTTCATACTAGATCTGATCCTTTGATAAACCTTTAATCCCATAGCTGTGACATTATGACTTTATATCTCAGTATTCATACTTTTAAACTAACTCATGGCAAGCTACATGAGTTTGCTTCAAAATGAAGGTTTATTTATTTATTTGACAGGGACAGTAGTTGGGACAGGGTAATTATCTTCCACAGAAACTGACTTTTTACCTTCAACAGAGTATCTGATCAGCATCCTGCTCTATTACAGATCTTAGATGTTACACATTTACTGTTATATTAGCGTCATTTCTTTAATCCAATCAAGTTAACTGTTGTGTTTAACAGCGCCTCTATGTGGTAAAATCAGGTCATGAGACCAGTTTTTTTGTAAAACCTGTTTCTCGTTCCAGTTTCCGAACTCCACTTGCTGGAGGACCTTCAGGAGAAATGTCTGACCATGAAGGTTCTCCTCAAAGCAGACCTCTGCCTCGGAGACGCCGCCCCTCACCCCCACGCTTGTATCACCCTCCTCTTCATCACTTGTGCCAAGAATATTAGAATTGTATTGAATTACAAAGCAAAACCCAGGACTTGCCTTAAACCAAACACGAGACAATAATCAGGAAGAATGGGTTTCGTACATAAAAGGGGGGGAAGGGTTTAGACACGTTGGGACATTCATAACAGACCAGAGGTTCAGAAAAAAACTGGTGAATTAAGCAGAATTGTTTCACATGAGCAAATATAACTTCTTGACTTCAAACTCCTTGAGGAAATAAATAAAATGGATCTGACCGCTGCTGACAGCCTGAGCTTGAGTGAAAAACTAATATAGGAATTTAACAGTAAAGTCCTTGTAAATGTTCAATAGCGCACCTAAAATCAGCAGCTGAGAAAGATCTTCAATGATCTGAAGGTATGTTTGGGGGGAATGGAGGAGCTCCCCAACTTTTACCTCCTTCTCAGATGAAGTTCACAGTAGGTCATTCAAAGTGCATCTTCTTCCAATTAACAGGGTAAGCTGCTGGTAAAGTTACTAGGGCTCCTTCCACTGAGACGTCAAAACTGTTTCTATTTACTTCAAATGAGATTTAGAGAAATTGTCAGTCATGCAATATGTGAAGCTGATGCTGACCAAGGATAAGGCTGTAGTTTCTCATGATTTTAATGTGATCAAAGGCTTCCTCTGTAGCTGGTTCTTCTTCCAAACTCCTGCTGGGATCTACATTAGAGGCTTTTAGCTCAGAGGCCCAGGTACTCTGCCAGGAACACGGCCATGATCTTAGTGAGGTTCTCTACGGTTGGGTGGTGCATGTTCTCCTCCGTGTCGTCCAGTGTGTGCCAGAACTGAGGGAAGGGAGTGGGGATTATGTGCAACACCGGTACACCTGGAAGAAATGGATTGAAAGATAAAGAGGATGAAGGAGGGGTCACGTGTAAACAGCAGCTGCAATGCTTCCTAGGTTACAATGTCACTGCATCAAACTCGCCCTAAAGCTCATACTGATCTACTTGTTTGGGAGCTTTGGCCTAGTGGATCAGAGCAGCGCGCTTTTACGCTCTGAGAAGGTTGCAAGTACCATGTTCGATCCCCACAGCCACCACTTTGGGTTCCTGAGCAAAAAAAATTAACCCCTGGTTAACCACTCAATGGCAGCCCTCTGCTCCCCAAGGGAAAGGGTTAAAATGCCATTGTCCCCATTGTGGGACAATTAAGAGATTTACATTTATTAAAAATTGACTATTCTGCCTTCGACTTTGCTTATACACCTGGATTTTACCCAAAGGTTACTGTTCTGAGTTTTTTTGGAACCCCGATTTTATTATTTAGGGATGGAATATATAGGTAAGCTGAGAGGCTGAAGCCACAGACTCTTAAATAAGGTTTTTCCCTTAGACAAAAGAAAAACTATATAAACGATTCAAAGTTTTCTTAGCTAACAGATGCATGTTTTTTAAAAGACGGAAATCTCGGTGTTTTACCAAAAGAAAAATTAACACAAAACATATATATTTTAGATTTGGGTAGATTTTCAAATTAAAAGGAGCTGCAGTAGTAAAACACCCAGTTATGTCCAACGACCAGTGGCCACATAGAAATGGGGTTTATACCCAAGTTTATACAGACAAAGGATCTGTTGGTTGTTCCTGTGCCTCACCTCTGTGAAGGAAAGGGATGTGGTCGTCTTGAACAGGACCAAGGTACACGTCCTTCCTAAAGTATGTCTGCTCTGAGGGGTGAGACACCAGGAGACCGAGGCGATGGAGCCTTTTCTCTGAGAGTGAAGGCAAAGTTCAGATGAACAAGGCGAAAATTCACCATTGATGATAAACGGAAAAGCCTGTACCCACCTGCAGAGATCAGGCGGTCAAACCATCGAGCTGTGTTGTCAAAATGATTTGCAATCAATGGATCAGGACCACCGAGCAGGTCTAACAGCACGAAAAGGTCCTGAGGATGAAAGCACAAGTCAAAGAAAGGAGGATGTTTGTTTTTAATGATTACCCAGATCACCGCAAACAGAAGGCAATTTGATCATGAGTTTCTTCTAAAAGGGTCTGATGATCCAAATCAGCAAAGCTCTCTTATATTAAGTTAATTTATAAATTTGTTTAATATCTCATCATAATTAAATTTTCCTCTATTCTTGCAGATAAGTTTTAAACTTTGCTTTGAATCTAATGCTGTAGAGATGTTTGCGGAAATAAAGAATCTTATCAAACATTTATTTTCCATCTTTATCTTCCCCTGGAAAACACTTCAAATTTCATGCTTTTTCTCTAAAGCATAGAAACACTGCAGATAGACTTATTTTTTTTTTTTTTTGCTTTATCTCACCTGTAAGGACTAGAATACACAAGAAAAATGATCTGAGACGGATTCAATCATCTAATTAATGTATTGTCCTTACATTATGCCATAATTAGACAAAAGACAACTTCTTTAACTCATCAGCTATAAGCTTGAACTGCTGAGGTTAAACCCTAAAGCACAAAGCTGAAGAGCAAAGCAACCACCTCCCTTCCAACTCTCTCTCTAAAGTCGACACATTTGTAGTTTTGATATTTGAGCTTAGAAGTGTTACCAAGGTATCATGTAGCCCTGAACCTCAGCCAGTATCAGCTCCTTATTAAATATTCAGCAGGATTCTTTGCTGCAGGGCTTTAAGTTTTACCTGAAAACACTGCTTTTAGCAGTTTCTACAGCGACAAGAAAATATGTTATTAAAATCTGCTTCTGCAAACATTCTGCATTTTAATTCTACATGTTTCCCTTAAAAAATACGATTATATTTTTTGTACAATTTATTTTCTCTATGCTAAGCTAATAAGAGATAAAAAATTGAATCCAGCTGCTTGTTTTATGTTTCTTTGCCCTCACCACAGCCTGCAGAGTGGTGGCCTGAGGGGAGGCGGCAGGGTGGGGTGTTTTGGCCATGAGTTCGGCCAGGTGGCGAGAGCCGTACAGCGAGTCCGTGTCCGTCCATTCTTCAAACGATTCCTCGCCGTCAAAAAACACAAGCTGGAGGGTGACTGGGAGTTTCTAGGAAAAGTATAAGACGGTTAGTTTACAATGCAGCTGAGGTCATCTTTTCATTCCTGCAGCTCCAAAGTACAGTTCATTAGAGAGATACTGCTGTATACTTAGGATGGGAACTAGAGTCAGCATTTTCTGCACACTGCAGCCATGCAGGCAGAGAGGCGAAAAAAGGGTGTAAAGGGAATAAAAGGCACAGAGAAGACTTTGGTCAGCATCTTTATGCTTAAAATTAAGAAAAGCCTTTAAAAAATAGTAAAAAATAATCTCAGTTTTAGACTTCTATAATTCCATTAATGCAGAATAAAAGACAAATACCTGCTGTTTAAAAGATTTGAGCTGTGTGTCCAGAGAAGCAGCCAGCTCCAGAATCATAGCACAGGGAACAGCAGAATCGCTGGCTCCCAAAAACACCTTCCCTGGGGCCTGCGGGTCTGGAGGGAGGATTTTTGAGTCATAATGGCAGGCCAGGAGGAGCCTCCGAGGGGCTGTGGGGTCCAGGACGGCAATAACATTTGTAAAGGTGACTTGACCACGAGGAGTGGGAGACTGGAAAGAGTCCAGGTCAATGGCCCAGCCAGCCGACAGCGAGGACAGGGTGGACGCGATGTGCTGAAGCAGAGGAGAGAGTTAAAGATAAAGAGACGGTGCTTAAAAAAGCAGCTAGATGTGATCTGTAATAAATCACACACCTGCTGTACGGCCAGGCTTCCTCGTGTCCCTGGGAGCCTCTCTATCAGGATCGGCTGCAGGTGAGTCTCCCACAAGCGAGCTGAGTCGACTAAAGAGGCCAGGCGGCGGATCTGGGCTGCAGAGGCTTTACTGGGTTTGTGGGAAAGCTGTGGAACACAAGACGCTTAAAAATACTCACCTTCATTATAAACTATTATTTTCTTTATACGGTTATTCTGTTCCTTTACACTGAAACTATTCTACTCGTTCATATGTTGCAAGATTTGTATTTCAACTGATCTAAATGATAAAAAAAGATAAACACTGTATGAGAAACCAACAGAATGACCAGTGCCTGTTAATGTTTTACAACCACTGTAGCTCAGTTAGATTCGAATCGGCAACATAGTAAATACTTAGAATGTAAAAATGCACAGACTGATTGTTAGTTTATTACTCAAATCATTGGATCATCAAAAGAGTTTGATGCATCACTACAACAGCAATAACCTGTACAATGTATAACCTATGCAATAACCTGTTTTTCTATATCTAACACCCAGTGCAATAACTGAATATAAAAATATAAATATTCATGTAAACACCCAGCACAATAACCCTTTTTAAGGATACTACTATAATAAAAAAAAACAAAAAAAAAAAAGTAATGGAAGCACTGCATATACTGTATATATCCCATCCACCTTTTTCTTCCTTTGGCACCTTCTTCTCCTTTCACTGTTTCAGCTGATGTAACGAGTACATTTTTCTGCACTGTGAGATCAATAAAGTCAATCAATCAATGAGCTTGATTTATTACTTTGTACTAACTATTTTGTATAAATGAAATCCCGGGACCTCAACTAAATAAAAGTAATAAAATAATCTCACAGCTTTTCCGTATTTAAAGATATCCTGACATTTAACTGACTCAGTAAATGCAGGTATGAAGTAAAACTGATGGTGAAATATCCAGAGGCGTAGCTAGAAAATTTTCATAAGGGTGGACAGGCAATAACCAATGCACACTGAGGGGTGGTCAATCTACACTGTTCCAAAAGGAACAACCACAACATCCATATTTTCTAAATAAAGACTAACTATACTTTACCACAGCCTTTTCCTAACAAATAGACGCATATATTTAAACATCTGTGCTGACTAATTAAAGGTGTAGCGGACAAAATCTCTGAGGCGAAAATCATCTCCATTGTCATTACTTACCTACTTTTACCAAAAATTGATCTGAATAAAAAAATATATATTTATAAGTGCTAATATCTACAATAAATGGGTTTTAAAGTTATTATTAAAGTAGTAATTTATCTAAGATTTAACGGCAGACTCCTAGATGACCTGCAGAGACATAATTTTCTCTTTACCTCATATAACACAAAAATATAGTTCTGAAAAGAGCATGAATTCTGTATATATCAACTTTAATGTTAGTATTTTGCTGTGCATAAACATGGTTTTTACAGGAATGAGTAACTCTAATTTAATGCTCTTAGAAATAATTTTAATGCCATCAACAAGTACCCATGACTCTCATATATACATGTATAAAACAAGGCAAAACCCTGCATCATCTTTACCATCGACAGGCTGCAGCCATGTCCCTAATTCCTCGTTTTCCAGACACTTTTGTTGGAATTTGCATTTTCCTATTCTGTAGCTTTTTCACCGCCTAGAGCTTCGTTTTCGGAAAATACGGCTTTACGATTAACCGGAAGCAGTTTGGCGCAAACATGCGCAAGCAGTTAAATCTGACGAAATAGTTTTTTAAATAAAGCATTTTAAATGCCACAATGAATTTTAATGCAAATTAAGGCCTTACTTAAAAAAATTATAATTCAATGACTTTTAATGACCCGCGAAAACACTGATAAACACAGCCTTTTAGTTGTCGATATATGAAAAATTCTAATGTTTAATAAGTTTTAACATTCCTCTTGTAAGTATTACTGCTGCCACCATGGGCGAAAAAAAATGGTAGGGGTGGCCACTGATTAGGTGAGGGTGGAAATGGCCACCCCTGGCCCCCCATCTAGCTCCGCCCCTGGAAATATACAGATTGTTACAGGTGAATCAGTAGACTTGACAATGGAGATGGATTAGAATAGTTGAATAAAAAAAAATAAAAAAAAACTTTTAAATGTAACCAAACAATGATGTGAGGCTTGCTAAATAATCCATTATATCTCACCCTGTCCTTCACCAGATCCACAGCTGGTAAGCGGCTCACGTGTCCGCTGGAGGTGTCATTAACCAGGTAAACACTCAGCACCACCGCCAGCACCAGAACACCGAGCAGACCCACGATCAGAACCCGGGCTCTGAGGATCCGCCCCCGCTCACAGCCGGGGAGCGAGCCGCCTCCGTTTCTCTGCGGTAGAGTCTTGTTGTTCCTGCGGCTGGACCGGGGCATGGCTGCTGGGTGGGGGTGTTCCGCCTGAAGAGCAGAAAAGTTACAGCTACGTGTCCAAAGCTGGGGGTTTGTGGAGCGATGCAGGACGGTGATTCACACAGGAAGCGACATTTGCAGATGCTTGATTCAACATATCGATCCAGGATTAGCCGCTGAAGCTCTGCTGGCTGCCTTTGATGAATCCTCAGAAGCCATTCATCACATCAGATCTGTTTAATTTATTTTATCTTATCAGGCTTCCATCTTCATCTGGAGCGCTGCAGCTTTTCCCCTCATGTCCGTATGAAGACGCAAATACTAAGAATGTGGAAGAAGAACATCATCATACTTATTAGAACAACATTTAAGCGACAAAAAACAAAACAAAAACTAATTTAAAGCTCCCTGGTTAATAGATAAGCTAAACAATCTAAACAAGTTGCACTTCTTCTAGGCCTTGTTTCAGAAGTATCCTGTAGGAGCGCCATCTAGCGGACATTCTTTGCTTCTTCTTCTTCTTTTCTATTATGGCGGATCGCAAGGAACTTTAAGGTGCATACCGCCACCTACTGTACATTCGTGTGTAGCAACATTACTGTACAACAAAGTATTTTTTTTTATTTTGTATTTTGTATATAAATAAATAATTATTTACTTAATCAGTGAATATATTTTATATTTCATTAATTTCCCAATATTCTTTTAAGACTCCATTGTTGGCCTGTCCTTCCAACCATCCTTCTCAATTTCTCCCTATCATGTTCATAAGTTTTAAAGTTCATCACTACATGTTCTACATTTTCTTTTTCTCCACATCCTTCACCTTTATCATTATTTTTCCTCCATATTAAATATATTTTGTCATTTAAATAGGTATGACCCACTCTTAATCTGATGATTATTACTTCTTCCCTTCTGTTTCTCTCATTAATGATTCTATTTTATTCTTGTACCTTATATAATCCTCTTCCTTTCTTGTCTTCATTCCATCTCTTTTGCCATTTTTCCATTTCTTTACTCTTAATAAATTATTTACCTTCCCCTTTCCCAAAAGGAATTGTAATTGTTATTGTTTCCTCTAAAGCCCTTTTTGCCAGTATATCTGCCTTATCATTGCGTTTTACATACATTCTTTGCTATAGAGGATCTTCCTTTCAAAGAGAGGAGTTGTGATACTCTACCGCCATCTAGTGGCGAGAATTGTAGCTCAAGACCAGATTTTAGAAAGAATCCACAGTTTATTTATACAGCACGAATTGACAAGAAAATATCATCATAAAGTACGTTTTTAAACAAAAATGTCTAAATATACAGACATATATTAGATGCATCTTGTTTATAGTTGGATGTGTGTATAATTCATATGAATATCATATAAAAGTAACTGGAGCGTGTAACAAAAGTAATTTCCCTCTGGGATTATTAAAGTATTTCTGATTCTGATTCTGATTCTGAACATTAGTTAAAGCACAATGCTGTCAAATGTAGTTTGTTATAAAGATCTAGAAAAAGTTATCTTGCTAAAGAAGAAAATCAAATAATCAATTTAAGGCAACCAATCTGTCATGCAGATTAAGTGTGTGGCAACAGTGGGAAAAAACAACTCCCTTTCAACAAGACCCTCTGCCATAGAACACATACAGTTTTTCAAATGTCTGTACTCAAGTTATGAGGTGACTACCTCATCAATGCTGTACATCCCAAACAATACAACTTTTTACTGTTTTATTTTACATAAAAATATATATCTATATAAAGATCCAGTTTGAAGTGCAGATGCCATGAAAATTGTTACGGTATAATACTTTCAGACCTTATTCCCCTGATATTATGACTTTCTAGCCCTAATGAGACATGAGAGGCCTTTTTATCTGGGTATTTTTCTTGTCATCTCGTTGAGCTGTCCAGCATCGGCATGCCAGGGTCAGGCTTGATATCCACAGAGCTCATCCACCTTGATCAAGGCAAACAATAAGAGGATTTATATGTTACTGTACAGTTGTAATGTAGGGATTTGGATTCTAAGAAATTGAACTAAATCAGCTATTAAAGTAGCAACATATAAAACTAGATTGAATAGAAAATACAACAATATTCTGTTTTTGCAGAAAGGGTTAATGTGAATTCTCTCAGATGTTGGTGTCGTTCTGGACTCAACCAAAAGACAAGGTATCATTTAAAAAAACATTGAGGAAAGTTTTCAAATAACACAAACGATACCTTTGCAGTGTGTGTGGATGGGGGAGGTTCGGTTCTCAGATCTCAGATAATAGTAAGCAAAGGGACCGTGTAAATGGAGCGTGCTGCAAACTCCCTCTGCTCTTTAGTGAATTCATGGCTCTGTTTGGACAGCAGGTGCATTGGAAAATCTGAAATTTAATTAAGAGGCAAACTACGAAGAACTACTGACAATATTTGGAAATTCTTAAAAAAAAAAACTGCTTGTACACTTATCAAAACTTAATTTAAAAACTTTGTTTTTATCTGAGTATGCATTAAGCTGATCTTTCAACTCTTCATTTATGAGTTTTTAAGAGCACTCATGGCATTCCTTGCTCCCCTCTCTCTGTTGCTGATGTTCCTCCTCTCTCTTTCCAGCCTCTCCTCCTGAGCAAGTCTGTATTGTAGTTGTGTGGTCCTGTGAGTACACCCGGTATCTATGGCAAGGTCGCTTTATTTTGGACAATATTTCTGACAAATTTGAACTTTATGGATGTTAAGGATGTTTTATTTGGAATCACAAAATATTAAAAAAGAACTTTCTAACCATTTCTTTTTATGTAATCTTTTTCTACCGTCGGCCAAGTTTTATATCCACAAATGTAAAACTATCATAATTAAACCCTCATGTATCTTTTTTTTTTTTTTAAAGGAAGCAATTACCTTTTTTTTTCTACATTGTCCTCCTCCAATAACAAAAAAAAAAACTATTAAAAGTTTATCTTTATACTCTAAATTCAAAGTATTTACAAATCTCTTTACATGCTGCTATGTGTAACTTTACTTTATTGCTATCACTATTTTTACTTTTATTTAGTGTTTTTTTTTATTATTATTATTATTATTTTTGTTCAGACCCCTGGTGGTTGTTCACTGGAAATTTTACTTTTTTTGTATAATATAAAGAATATTCTAATAATGTATGTATAAGAAAGACAAAATCTTCCCACTAAGTAAAGCATAAATAAAAGTCTATATTAAAGATAAAATGAATAATATATGGCAGGAAAATTGGAATTTAGAAGAAAGATGAATGCATTTACATAAAATACAAAAGGAGTTAATCATAAGAAATAAAAGTATAATGAATAGGAGGGAAGAAATATGGATTAACAGGTTGAGGATTGGGCTGATCAGTAAGTATGGCTAATTTATTAGGGAAGCACTTATTAAATATTTAATAGAAACAAAATTAGCTAAGAGGATTCAGTATGTATGTGAGTGAGTTTATAACTATGTATATAATTTAGTTATTTTAAAATTTTAAGATATATTGGAAAAATGAATTTCTGAATTACATCTCCGTCCAGTAGATGGCGGTAATGTGCAAAGTGTATAAACTGCCAGAAAGCGCGTTAGAAGAAGAAGGGGAAGAAATTCGCGGGATTTGCTGCAGTTTTTGTTGGTTCTCGTGAGAAGCTGAGGAGCTGCATCCACCAGCTGCACACTTTGAAGCCGCTCAAAGTTTCTGCTTTTCGTCTGCCTTCTTCACAGGAGTTTCCTTTTCACCATGATGTTTGTGATTAAAAGAGGTGAGTTTTATTAGTTTCCTGTTAGCCCAGCCGCACGTAGCTCTACCTTTAGCCAACATCTTTTAAAAAAAGTTTTAAAAAAAATGACAGCTCCTTCTCTCTAGCCTCTGCATCAGTATAATATGGAGGTTTGGTTTGAATGGGTTGGATTTTAACCCCCTGTCAGCTAACCAGCTAGCTTTAGCAAGATCACAGCTAAACCTGGAGGTTAAACTAAACAGCCGTTGGTAAATGACGCATTTCCTTTTTATTCCTTTGATAACCACAGCTCAACAAGCACACCTTAAGAGAGAGTTTGTTCAGTTTGCTCTTTGTTTTGGAGACAGAAATGGTCTTTGTTCCAGATGGCGCCAAAAATGACCCCTCCTCCTCCTCCTCCTTCTGGGTTAAACTGGACTGGATTTATAAATAAATATAAAAACGATGAGAAATATAAAAACAACTTAAAGCAAACTGAAAAAGACAGATGCACAGGAGGAGTCCTCACTGTGTTTAACAACAGTGCATTTGGTAGCAGGTGAAAAATGGAAACAGTAGATCTGATAGTGAATAGAAAGGACGCTCCTGTTTACTACTTTTATATTAATATATAAAAGATTAAATTATATTGATTTTTTTTTTTTTTTGATTGATTGCTTCATTGTGTTTTTTCCCGCTATTTGTCAGTTTATAGCTCTTCCTTTTTCCTCTTCCTGCAAACATTCATGTTCTTGCCTGTTGAGGAATCCTGTCATTAAGCTACACCCCCCATCCTCCTCTTTAGCCTTATTTAATTTAAACATTTCTTATTGGCTGGAGAGGAAAAGCTATTTTATTGAATATATATAGGGAGTAGTAAAAAAATAAAGCTGCAGGATATTAAAACAAACTGTTGCTCTTGCCTTTAAGGCACATATATATTCAGTGAAAAAATAAGCAACAGGTTAATTGATTTTCAAAACTATCATTGCAGCCCTAGTCCAAATAAGGCGTTTTTTTTTAATAATCTAAGGGAAATGAAGAGAAAGCCGCCCTCTGTAACCTGGATCAACACAGGCGGCTTTCTGTTTATTAGCTTGAAGAGAGGACGAGGAGCAGCAGCTGTAATGCAGTGTTACAAAATGCTAATAGATTTGGGCAGCTTCCTGTTTAAACTAGAAACTTTTGAGTTTTGAGTATTGATCATGAAAAAAATGATTTGACTAAAGATCTATCTGTCTGTGTTTTTTTTTTCAGATGGACGCCAGGAGCGCGTCATGTTCGATAAAATCACCTCCCGTATCCAGAAGCTCTGCTACGGTCTGAATGCAGACTTCGTGGATCCGGCCCAGATCACCATGAAGGTGATCCAGGGTTTGTACAGCGGCGTCACCACCGTGGAGCTAGACACGCTAGCAGCGGAGATCGCGGCCACCCTGACGACCAAGCACCCGGACTACGCCATCCTCGCCGCCAGGATTGCCGTCTCCAACCTTCACAAGGAGACCAAGAAAGTATTCAGCGAAGTGATGGAAGACCTGTACAACTACGTCAACCCTCTGAACAAATGCCACTCCCCCATGATCTCCAAGCAGACCCTCGACATCGTTCTGGAGAACAAAGACCGCCTCAATTCCTCCATCATTTATGACAGAGATTTTTCCTACAACTTCTTTGGCTTCAAAACCCTGGAGCGCTCCTATCTGCTGAAGATCAACGGGAAAGTGGCCGAGCGCCCGCAGCACATGCTCATGAGGGTGTCGGTCGGTATCCACGGAAAAGACATTGACGCCGCCATTGAGACCTACAACCTGCTGTCGGAGAAGTGGTTCACCCACGCCTCGCCAACCCTCTTCAACGCCGGGACCAACCGGGCGCAGCTGTCCAGCTGCTTCCTGCTCGCCATGAAGGATGACAGCATCGAGGGCATCTACGACACCCTGAAGCAGTGCGCCCTCATTTCCAAATCCGCTGGCGGGATCGGCGTGGCGGTGAGCTGCATCAGATCGACTGGGAGCTACATCGCTGGCACTAACGGCAACTCCAATGGGCTGGTCCCGATGCTGCGGGTTTACAACAACACCGCCCGCTATGTTGACCAGGGTGGCAACAAGCGACCGGGAGCCTTCGCCATGTACCTGGAGCCGTGGCACTTTGATGTGTTCGACTTCCTGGAGCTGAAGAAGAACACAGGAAAGGAGGAGCAGAGAGCCAGAGACCTATTCTACGCCATGTGGATCCCTGACCTGTTCATGAAGAGAGTGGAGAGCAACCAGGACTGGTCCCTGATGTGTCCCAACGAGTGTCCCGGGCTGGACGAGTGCTGGGGGGAGGAGTTTGAGAAGCTCTACACTAAATATGAAAAGGAAGGGAGGGTGAAGAAGGTGGTGAAGGCTCAGCAGGTTTGGTACGCCATCATCGAGTCTCAGACGGAAACCGGGACGCCCTACATGCTTTACAAGGACGCCTGCAACAGGAAGAGCAACCAGCAGAACCTGGGCACCATCAAGTGCAGCAACCTCTGCACGGAGATCGTGGAGTACACCAGCAAGGACGAGGTGGCGGTCTGTAACCTGGCCTCCATCGCCCTCAACATGTACGTCACGCCTGAGCGGACTTTCGACTTTAAGAAGCTGGCCTCGGTCACCAAGGTGATCGTGAAGAACCTGAACAAGATCATTGAGATCAACTACTACCCCGTACCCGAAGCAGAGAGGTCCAACAAACGCCACCGGCCCATCGGGATCGGAGTCCAGGGTTTGGCAGACGCCTTCATCCTGATGCGTTACCCGTTCGAAAGCCCAGAAGCTCAACTGCTCAACATCCACATCTTCGAGACCATCTACTACGCCGCCCTGGAGGCCAGCTGCGAACTGGCGGCAGAGCTGGGTCCTTACGAGACGTACGAAGGCTCACCTGTCAGCAAAGGCATCCTCCAGTACGACATGTGGGAGAAGACTCCCACCGACATGTGGGACTGGAAGCTGCTGAAGGAGAAGATCGCCAAACACGGCGTGAGGAACAGCCTGCTGCTGGCCCCCATGCCCACGGCCTCCACCGCTCAGATCCTGGGCAACAACGAGTCCATCGAGGCCTACACCAGCAACATCTACACCCGCAGGGTCCTCTCCGGAGAGTTCCAGATCGTCAATCCTCACCTTCTCAAGGACCTGACGGAGCGGGGGCTGTGGAACGAGGAGATGAAGAACAAACTGATCGCCAACAACGGATCCATTCAGGTGACGGTCGCCTCCCGCCTCTTTTAAAGACCTTCCCTTTTTTACGGGACAGTATTATAATCATGCTGTTTTTTTCCCCACAGGAAATCGGTGAAATTCCAGACGATCTGAAGCAGCTTTATAAAACCGTTTGGGAGATTTCCCAAAAGACTGTGCTAAAGATGGCTGCAGACCGTGGCGCCTACATAGATCAGAGCCAGTCTCTGAACATCCACATCGCAGAGCCCAACTACGGGAAACTGACCAGCATGCACTTCTACGGCTGGAAGCAGGCAAGTGGCGCCTCCACACGGGGCCAGAGAGACCTCACAGTTTCCCTCAAACATTAGACAAAAACAAAGAAACAAACTATTAAGCTTGAGGATACATCCTAGGCTTGAAGTACGGAGGTGGCAGCGTCATGTTTTGTGGTCGTTCATTTATTTAAACCAACTCCATTATCTTTCCTGACAGGGTTTGAAGACGGGAATGTACTACCTGAGGACGAAGCCCGCCGCCAACCCCATCCAGTTCACCCTGAACAAGGAGAAGCTGAAGGAGACGCAGCAGAGCAAGGCCTCTGAGGAGGAGGAGCTGAAGGAGAGGAACAAAGCAGCCATGGTTTGCTCTCTGGAGAACAGAGACGACTGCGTCATGTGTGGATCTTAGATTAACTCCTTCCTGTAAACATGGCTGCTGTGACTGGAAGGTCGGGCCGTGCTTTATGGTAGAAATGCTTCCTGGACTCTTTTCACTTGGGTGGACTTCTAATGTTTATGGGGTGGATTTCATCCACGGCAGGTTTCCCTTCATTCAAATAGTGTAAGATACTCATTTTTATGTCTGCAATCAAAAAATAATAAATAAAAATAAATTTACAATAAAACAAAAGGCTTGGTTTTGCAACAATTATTGCTACTCCTGATGCATCCTGCTCCAATAGAGATGTAGATATGCTGAAGAGGTTTTTATTTTCATTTTTTTCTTTTATTTGGAAAGGCAAGTTACAATAATTTCATACAGACAAGCTTCCCTCACAATGGAAGTATAAGCAGGAATAACATAAGCCAATCCAGGATTTCTATATAGTAACCGAACTGAAGAGATTTTCCTCTAGCTAAGGTGAATGACTAATATTTTCCCAAACTGTATTTCCTCTGATATTGCAATTAGTTTTCAACTAAATAGTTTTCCATAACCTTATAAGATTGTTTTAATTTTTAATGAACCTAAACCAAGTTTGGAAAATGCAAGTTTTCAAAAGCAGATTCCACCCATAGGGAAGAAAAATAGCAGAACATCACTCTTATTGTAGAAAAGAAAACCTGCAGTAATCCAGATATACAACCTAGAACCTGTAAAATCCATCCATCTATTTTCCATCACACTTTACCAAGCAGGGTCGCAAGCTTGTCTATGGGTGAGATACAACCCGGACAGGTTGCCTGTTTATTGCAGGGCAACACAAACAGGACAAGCAACTATTCACACACATAAGGAGAATTTAGAGAAGTCAATTAACAGTCATGTTTTTGGACTGTGGGAGGAAGCTGGAGTACCTGGAGAGAACCCACGCATGCTCAGGGAGAACATGCAGAAAGACCTTGGGCTGGGAATTGAACCCTGAACCTTCTTGCTGCAAGGCAGCACCTGTAATATCTTCCTAAAAGGATCTTCCCTTTTTGTATTTCGATGCACAAGATTATCAATTTTGGCCAAAGTTAAGAGCCATAGGTCAGCTTGTTCTCCAATCGAGCACCAGTAACGCTGCATCATTAAAGCAGATCAAGTATCTGCTGGAACCAAGTTGTGCTAAACAAAGTCTCCAAAGAGTTAGTTAGAGGGAAGAATGTAATGCTTGGTAAATTCCTTGAAGATGGTTGTTCACTCCATGGATCTCTGAGCAACAGTCCAGTTTTTTTTCCCCTGACGTCTTTTTTCCAGAAGGAACATGAATTTTCATGTCCTGCAAAAAGTAGAGACCCAACCTGCATGCCTGCCATGACTTTAGCTTTGCTTATATTACTACTAGGAAAGCACAGATGTAAAAATCAGGGCCGATAACAATATCCAATAATATCCAATTGTTGCTGATAGTTGTTGCCCATTTAGCCTCAAAGAAAAATCACAGCTTATGTTGCGTCTCTACCCCAGTTAAACACCCACAATCCTTTTCTCCACCATCATCACATGACCGAGGAAAGCCCATTTGAATCCTCTGTTGGGGGGAAAAAAAACGGCAACAAGATTAAAAGTTGTGTTTTTATATTGGCAGTAGGGCTGCAACTAATATTTTGCAAACTGATTAATCTGTCAATTATTTTTTCAATGCATCGATTAATATTCGGAAACAGTTCCTTAGGAGTTTTTATAAAATTAGTCCAGAGGAAACTGAAATGTTTCCACTAGACGAATTCTGGATAGAGCATACTGACTGACTAAAAAGTTTTTATCTTAAATGCAAAATGTTCACATACTTTTTACAGAGTTTCCGCGGGTCAAAATCATTAAAAGTCATTAAATTATTTTTTTAAATTAAGGCCTTAATTGGCATTAAAATGTATTAAATTTGATCATCAAATGGCTTTGGAAAAGAAGCTTGAGGCGGAGAAAATGCTAGAGAATGGGGAAAAATGCAAATTTGAACCAAAGTGATGGGAAAATGAGGAACTCGGGACATTGCTGCAGCCTGTCCATGGGGAAGATGACGAAGGATTTTGCTATATATATATATATATATTTATTTATATATATATTTATTTAAGTCATGGGTACTTGTTGATGGCATTAAGATTATAAATAAGAGTTACTCATTCATGTATAAACCCCGTTTTAAGAATGTTGATATAATTACTCCTCTAAGTGGGTTGCTCTGTCAGATAAAGGCATATTTTACAGTTTATAAATCCGTTTAACAATCAATTACTAAATTACTTGAATATTTCAATCATGATTAATCACAATTAATCAGATTAATTGTTTTAGCCCTAATTGGCAACATTAGTTGCTAATATCACAGCATTGTGAAAGCTGGTATATCGTGCCTTCTTATATTATATTTTTCAATATTATATTGAAATTATATTTAAATATTAAAAATGCAAAGGAAGCTAGAAATTCAAACTCAGATGAAAGCTCTATTTCCAAAATGAATCAAGCATTTTCAGATATTGTGCTTTAAAAAAATAATAAATCAGCATTTTTATTGATAGAAAATTCAGGACAAAACAAGAGCTTATATAGTTATTTTTAATTTTTTTTTATAAAATAATGAAAACATAATTTACACTTTAGAATGTACAAGTTATTACAACCCAAAGAAATCCAGAAGGCGTAGTTTTGCTGAACGTACCCCTAATGCACAGAGAGGAATCATATAAATCAGCTATGAACAGAACTCAAGAGGTAAAACAGCACGTTTAAAAACACGGCACCGTCTCTTCTCACTACTCTGAAACAGTGGCCAACAGCTTAAAAAATAAATTACAAAAATATTTAACATAAAAAAGAATTACCAATAATAATAATGCATCACTGACTTGTTCACCAGGAGGGGTTGTGTATGCTTTAAATACCTTAAAACTATTCATAGCAATAATTATATTTATTATATATAGAAAACGAAGAACCACAACCCTTAAAAAAAAAAAAAAAACAATACCAGGAAATTAAGACTGAAGTTTTCTACAGGATGGTGTCCTTCACTACAAACACGAGGGTTGAAGGGCAACCTTCTGATTGGTCAAAGTGTTGAATCTAAACCTAAAAGTTCAGGAATATCTCAGAGTATCAGAGATATAAGCTAAAGCTGTTTTTCTACACACAGACGAGCAGAAAACCCCCCAAATAAACCAAAAACAGGTCTATTTTCAAGTCAAGTTTGAACGACAAGCAGGCAGTAAATGTAAAACAAACTGTATCATCACAGCGTGTGCACTTAGTCATCTCATGGAGAATAATTAGTAAGCTGCTGATAAAAAAAAAAATACAAACAGTACATATTTTCCTTTGAATTTCTATTTTACATGCAATGAAAGCTGTTTTCCAGACTGGTTGCTTTCAACATCGTCATTTAAAAAGTCCTTCAAACCAGAAATATTAAAGGGAAGCCTAAAACAGTATAAACAGCAGCACTGGGTCGTCTCCGATGGTGCAGACCTTAGTGCTTAACAGCATCAAAGAACCTGAGAAGGCTGGAAAATTCAGTGAAGAATTCAGAGAAGTGTTTAGTAGAAATATTTTAAACTTATCCTCTGCAGGGATATGTTGTCCATAAAGTACCAGGATCCTAAAAAGATACTTTTCTGTAGGAAAATAGCTGTAGTAAACAACAATATTAGGGAAGCTAGTTGTATAAATAGTGTTTTTGTGTTTATTTGGAATCATTATAGCATATTGGGACACATACACACATAAAAAGTTGTTTCACTATATTAGAATAAAGTTGAGTTTATTGCAGTGATTCAATAGAAAAGGTGAAACTGATTTATTTATTTATTCATTGCACCTTTACCTTCCAGTTTTTCCTTCCACTTAATTTTAATAAAATACATGAAGCATTCTGGAAAGGTTGCAAATGACTAAGTCATCCCCATAAAGTAACCATGAAAAAAACAAAAACAATTTCGGACTAAAATTTTCTCTTTAAATTATTTGAGAAACAGACTTTTAAGGTTCAATTAGCTGTAATATATATATATATATATATATATATATATATATATATATATATATATATATATATATATA